AACAGTAACAGTCATATAAATTCCTTATCAAAATATTATTTTTATATATGATTAAATACTTGATATAAATGGATTAATACTAAGTGAACATTTTTCTTTTGTGGATGATAGGGCGAGCTATTTTCCCCTTTTTGAAAGTAAGAGGTTTCATCAGTTTTTTATTATTTTCGTGAAAACTGTAACTCCCACAAACATTTTGTAATAAACTTTGTTTTAGCTAATAGTATTATCTAAACAATTTTTTATAACTTTTTGTTCCATCTTTTATAATAAACGCATAATAATCACAAATATATATTGGTAATAAATTGTTTATAGGTGTAACAACTTTTTTTTATTTATCTGACAGAAAATACATAATACGGTTTTTATTTTTTATTATTCTTCTTGGATATTTTGTTGATCAGCTTGAGGTTGAGGAGTACAATATTATGAGAAGAAGAGCAACTTTGAGATGTGGATGGCTTAAAATTATCCAAATTTGATTCAAGTAACATACTGATAGTTTCATTGTGTTTTTTCTGTAAGGCTCCAATATTGCGACTTGTATTCTGTAAAACTTCCCTCTTTCCCTCAATTGTTGAATAATTTAGGTTAACTAGGTACTGCTGTTTTGTTTTTAATTTACGACGCAAAGGCAAACCTATAAAAAAACATATTTATTCCAACCAGGAAATTAATAGAATAAGTTTTTACCTGACAATTCATTTTCAAAGTCTCGTTCATAATCATTTTCTGTAAAATGTTTAGAACAAACAAATCCATTTTTGAGAGTGAATTTATCCCCTCTTTTGCAGCGACGAATCCATTCTTTTCGCAAAGTTATGCAAACCATATCCTCAGCAATAAGAAAACGGTGAAATATTACATCAGTAACATCATTTTTCTTCAAAGTCAACTGATTGCTTTTGCAAGTTGACACTGCACAAATACGACCAGTAATTTTAATTAAAAATTACAAGGTTATTCAATGGTTAGACAATTATTGCTATTAGGAATCACACGTTGAAAGGTAAGATCTCGTTAGTCCTTAGCTCGCACAAGTTTCTCAACTTCTGAAAGTTGTCGTTCGTATGGGGGCGACAACTGATTAACGCAAAAACAGATTTTTTTTAAACAGATTTACAAAAATGTGAATATTTCCAATTTTTACCTTAACTTAATTTGAAAATGTTCAAGAAACAAAAAAGTTCCACAATGGCAAAAAACAAACCTCAAAACGGAAGAAAATAACAGAATCTTATACGGCGTCTACTCGTTACACCAGTTTAAAAAATGTCAAAAAGCACAAAAAAATACGACTTTCACAATAACAAACTCAATGTTTCAGAAATCTAATTGGTATAGTTAAATGAAAATTCAACCAAAATAAACAAAAACAATGTATTACTGTCCGAAAATAATCCTCAAAAAATGTTAAAATAACACACAGTCTTATGGCAGCTACTAAAAGTATCACCAGTGTTACGTCACATCTGCTCATCATATAATAAAAAACTGCCTTTGAAGGGGAGAAACAAGAACTGAACATCTGTCTATCTATTTAGTGTCGATCTTGGTATTATATTAGGTCGTTTCAAAATTTTTGAACGTTTTAATGTCATGGGTTTTTGTAACTCCATATCTCAATAAATATTCATTCTACTGTGTAGTACTAGTGTGTATAACATTATATTTTTTTTAGATTACCATGTTCAAAAACCCCTACCCAAGAACAATGTTCGGGAACTACTCAGAATAAGTCTAGTAATTCTAAGGCCAATAAAACATCTCAAAACTCTTCTACGGGAGAAAACATCAAGAAGTCAAATAGTCAGGACCTGAAAAATAATAATTCTAAACAAAACTCAATTTTTCCCTCAAAAGAAGAGTCAAGTCAAAAGTCTTCTACTACCTTTGATCATAAGGAAAACAGTATCCCTCAAAGAACACCAGGACCTGAACGCATTATTCAAAATCATGGCCTAAATCACGTTTCCCCCAAGAAAAATATTGAAGCCAATGCAAATGTGAGCCAGGATTCCAACAAAATTTGTAAGAAATAATTCTGATGTTCCATATTTCTTGAAAACAGCAATGTGGTTTTTAGCTGCCAAAAATACATTCAGTTTCATCGAAGACAACCAACCTATTGAAACCGAGGAATGGATACTATTTTTACAACGCTCCCTACAAGAAGTTATCGCTGGGGAAATGGTATCACTAACGCAGATTGGTCAGACAAATGTTTTGGTTTCACCATTGAGAAATCCTAATGCTAATTCGAAAGTCCTCAGTTTTGTGGCTAGATTATTATCTATTCCTTTTGTGGTGAAGGGTGTTTCAGAAGACACTTTGGTGCAAATTAAAAAGGTACATATAAATACTGAATTGAATTTCATCTCTAACGAATTTTGTGCAAGTAAATACTGTGACCAAACCCAAACCAACTGAGAATTTTTTCAATTTCGAACTTGACACTTCCTCAAATCTATCATTGGAATTATTCGAATGAACATAGACTGGATAGTAGTATTAATGAACTCAAGTTCACACCATTTTTCAAGCTATAATTGAATATTATGACCACGTTTCCATTTTGAGAAAGTTCATTGCTCAGTTTTCTAATATTTCGTGAATAACTCCTGAAATATCCTGAACTGAAAAAATGTATGATAATCCTTTTAGTAGTACTTAGTACTTATTGAGGTCTATAAAATTATTTTATGGAAATTAAAAAAAATCTTTTTGAACAAAAAAAGTTTTTTCTCATTTTCAACCTAAATTTTTCAAGTCAATCAATAATTTTGAGCCAATTAATTCGTGAATTTTCATTTTACGAGTCGGTCGATACTTGATGAAAATCCATGACGTATTCAAAAAATACTTTATTGTGAGATTTTCACGAAACATAAACGTAACACAAGTTTCGCCATTCAAAAGCTTCTTCAGGCGTGTCTATCCTTAAGTTTGCTATACAGGTATGGGTTCTTGGTGGCCTTCTTTTGCTAAATTTTCATTGACAGCTTTAGTTTTTCTCACTTAAATATGAAATTAGTTTTATTGAATCAATTTCAATCAGTTTCTTATAGAGATTTCGAATTAGTCATTTTTTTTTCAATTTCCTCAAAAAAACCAAATTACAAATTTATGTTGTTTACAAGTTTTTATTGTAGGTATATCTGGAAGTGAAATTGGTACCAAACTTGGTATATGCCACAAAATTATTAGTTCGAGAGCACTATGAAAACCAAGATAGTACATCTTCTGATTCATCATCCCCAATTGACTCTCCACTTCCAAAATCAGAAACATACAGGCGATTATCTGAGTTATGCGACGAAGACGTTCAAGCTCTAGAATACATATTTCTACTCGTATCACATCTGGTTCATACCAGTGATGATTTCTTGTTACAGTTTTGTGATGCCATTGTGGTTTTGTCCATTTATCCATTGCTGGGGATACTTTTGTCTTTAACATGTAAGTTTCTGAAGGAATAATATTGATTTCAATATAAACTTTATGTTACAACAGAGAAGTTGAATTATACTAAGAAAGAGTTTAATGTTTGTGTAATATAGAACTGAAACCTCTGGTGTAGAATAATTCCAAAACAAACACGGCTCCCAAACTTTCCAACTGCAACACTCTCCTCGAAGAATGTTTCACCAACCAAATTGACTTCTTTAGTAGATGAAGTAATCTACTTCAACTTGTGCCAACTTGGTCGGCAGAAGATCATAAAATGCGCATGTTGCAGTTCTGCAACGTCAAACAAACGTCCAAACTTATTTTGAAACAAGGATGGGAGATCATAGATCAGTGGAAGTCTTGTTGACAGATTAATTGAAACTCACTAATAACGTTTATTTATATTTTTACTGAAGAAGTTTACAATACTGCTGCACATGTTTTACTATACAATAGCAGGATTTTGATTTCATATCTTTATAGGAAAAGTATTTTCCTTACATACATCCATAATCTTAACGTTGGATTTAGGGGAGCTTCAACTTCACCTTCATTTAAATATGAATATTTTAAAAGGTGTCTTGTGTGTCACATATGTCGCGTGTATAATGATATCCTCTGTGTTTCAGAGTATAAATATTTCTCGATACTTACCAGTCTCTCATTTCGGACATCTCACTTCCTCATTTCAGGCTTCTCAATTTGTAGATCATTATAATCAGATATTTGTTTGACTTCCAGATTTATTTGTATTTGAATTTTTGAGCACATTGTATATTAATTCAGATATTCTTTTAGTAGTTGAGTGGAAGATTTGTTAGGTGGATCCATTTATTTAGAAACTCAACTGAACTTAACCTTTTCCTTTTGGAAAAAACAATTTACAATTTCTAAAGTAATAAAGACCTATTATTATTATGAACAAATGAAAAAATTCAACATTTTTGGAAATCACATACATATTTGAAATTGAAACCCAGATATAAAAACCAAGCAAGACCAAGAGGTATAGGCTATACAAAGTCAATCCGAACTGCTAAATAAAAGACTAATATACCGGGTCTGATAAATTTACTAGATAAAACCATAGAAACATCCCACAAAAATAATGATTAAACTTTGTAATCATAACACGCCGCCCATGCCATACAGACAAATTGCCGACGTTCGATAACTATTTAGTTTTTATGCCATTCAAATTGACTTTATTTATTCTATAAACACAGTTCTTATTTCATAGAATCTCAGATGACTAAAAATTTATCATCGTTTTTCTCAGAATCAAATCAATAGTTACATTTTCTGTTAATAGTTACTGTTTTATATTGACTCATAGAAGGTGGCAATACTAGGTCAAGCATCACTATAGTCTAAATAATAAAAAAATGCAGGAATCGCATCAATTTTTACATTTGATACAACAAACTGACAAACTATAGAAAACAAAATGACGTGGCTACTATTGAAATATTTATTTTCAAAATGAATTAAATGATTGACTTACTTTTATCTTTTTCAGGCAAGCGTAAAGTAAGAGTAGTTGCAGATTTATTAGCAATCCTTTCACAGTTACTGCGAAAACTTCCGGAAAATTGTGACATTGTAGAAAAAATACTGATCTTCACTCAATCTAAAGATACAGAAAGGAACAAAATACATTTTGTAGATTTGCTCAGACATTCCAGCCATTTATTGAGAGAAAGGACCTGTTTATTTATTTTGTTGATGAGCAAGAATTTACCAGAAAATTCTGTGAAGTTGTTCTGGGATACCAACGTCAGGGAAACATTGGAAGCCTTGGTATATGATTCCATTGAAACAGTTCGAAATGTATGTAGATATAATGGTTCGGTTTTCACTATTTTATAGAATATATCTGCCCTTCCAAGATACCTGTTGTAGGAGAGGTGCTGCCTGAAACGTATTTAATACAGCAATTTTTTATATTTTCCATAATATAGGGAGCTTCATTTTCCCCCTGGGACTGTCATAAGTTATAAAAGAAGTTTTTTCCATTATTTTTTGATTATTTTATAGTCAAATCCCAACTCTTTCTTAGTGAAATAGAAAATAACTGAATTCATTAACCAAGGATAAAAATATTTTCATTTTAAAATCATAGTAATGAATAGTTCTTCACTGTCTATATGCAGATCATTTACATCGCATAAAACATATCCATCTAATCTAGTAAAGTAATAAAGAGATGATAATTTGACTTATTTTGATTATACAATATTTTTGTTTACTACTATGTCAAAAAAGTACTGAAAATTGGTCAGTGAAATGCAAAATATTTAGTTTTCATTCAAATTTAGTATCATTTTGAAAGTAGGCCACTTCCGAAATAATACACTTGAGCTAACGTACAACCCAACTATCAAAACATTTTTAAATGTATTTTTTGGAATCGACTTCAGTACTCGCTGCGAATTCTGTATTATGTCATCTATCAACTGAAATAAATCGGTTGGAGCCATATCAGGTGAATATGGTGGTTTTTCGACGGGCTTTGTTGAGTTTTTGCCTAGAAATTCGTTCATAATAATTTGACAATACGCGAGCTTTTCAAATTATCGATTCCCGATACTTTCTTGACAGAATTTGTCAATGAGATGAGTAGTATGTCAAATTGGCCAAATCAAATGATAATGTTAAGTCTGAACCAAAGCCAACTAGCTAGCCTTTAAATATATTTTGCCAAAAGATTCAGGAACTAATGTATTTTCAAAAAATATGCTCTGCTATTTCTGATTTGCTGGTTTCTCCTCGCTGTGTGTGTTTTAATTTTTTCACAGATTCTTTCAGGGATTTCAAATCAATTTATATCATATTAGACAATGGAAGTCCGAACTAATGAAATGTACCATGAAACATTGTAAACTACCTTCAAACAAATATCTTGTGGAGTCCCACAAGGATCTATTCTTGGCTCTATTCTGTTCCTCACCTATATAATTTCAATAGTACAACTGAAAATTCAGATGACACAAACCTTACATAATGTTCAAACGATGTAAAAAAATCGGCGGTTTTATACACTTTATTTATTGAAAATTCCACAATTAACTAAATCTAAGCTACTTTTCAGGATTGTTGACCATGGTCTGCAGTTTTTATACCTGAGGTTTCGTCTACAAATCGGTGAGGCAACAGACACATTTCTCTAGTTGTCCTCATGCCATCGAATGACTGATTCATATGAAATTGCTCGGCTGACAGTCCATTTCATTCAGTTCGTTTCCTTCTCTTCTTTGATAATGTGTACTTCAGTTGTTGATGAAACATCAGGCATAAAAATCTGTAGACCATAGCCAACAAACCTGAAAAATAGCTTTGACCCAGTTACCTCCAGTCGTGAAAGTTTACACTCTTTGATCACAATAAACTGTTACTTGAATATATAAAGTGATATTTTTTGAGAACATTTCTAATATTATTTGAAAATAAGTTTGGTATGAATAAAAAATATTTACCATGTAGGATTCATGAGTTGAAACATGTCAGGTAGAGGTGAAAGCGTTATCCATAGTCTTAGAGTTTTACATTAATTTTTATATATAACTTACTGTCGCAGACCCAGGCCAGAGATATCAACTTGCCTAGGAACCAATGCGACTGTATTTCAAGCAAAAATTTATGCTATTGAATTGTGTGCGGAGAGATTGGAAGAATCCAACCTCATATACAAGTCGACTCTCCTCGATAGGAAGACTCAACATATTGTCTCTGGTCTGGATTCCTGGCCATACTGGCCTGGAATGCGATGAGGCTGCCGACTCCCTTACAAAGAAGGGTGCTGCAAGCAGCTTCATCGACCAGAACCTGTCATTGGCATCGCTTTAGGCTTTGCCAAACAAAGATTGAACACCTGGATAGCAAGAAGATTTATGGACTTTTAGCAGAATCTTCCAGGATTGGCTCACTTCAAGGTGTTTATTAACCCTTCGAAGCTTGATACCTAACAGTTGTTGGACTATAGTAGGGATGAACAACGATATCTAACAGGCCTTCTCACAGGTCACTTTGTATCATCATATGCAGAGACACGGATTGTCGGAAGATAGTCCCAGGGCGCAGCGGCGCACACTTTGAGAAACACTGACCTAATCATCTAACCTACCGTGTGCCAGATTTCTTAACTTTGCTCAATATAAAATAAAATATCTTATTTTTCAGAATAAAGAAATTGTTTTTTACAGACTAATAATTTTTTCAGGCTGCAGAACTGACAGTACTGGAGATTAAATCCAAATCTTTCTATAGTGAAGGAAAATGAGTGCTGTTTATGTTTGGAGGTATTCTTCAGTGTGGGCTGCTCATCTTGATTTGTATATTTGTACATAAAGTTTGATTGTGAAACAGTGGCTATAATTTCTCCTTAGTTTATCAACCTGATCAACTCAGTATTCCTGATTCATAGAATTAGATTATCTCATGTAGAATTGATCAGACAAAAACATATCTCGTGTCGATGCTAACTCAATTGATGAACATGCATTGAGAAATAACTCCGTCATATATCTTAAGAAAGCCCCTACGGGTTTTTTGGCAATTTGGTATTCAAACTAATTTTACAATGTGCTTTAATGTATGAAAAACGAAGTTAACAGAGTTTTTGTACGACTGTGTAGTGAAAATCTCACAATATCGGCCGATTCCATCAAATATAATGTTACAATTCTGTGTACACGATTCAATTTATTCAGACAGAATGTAGGGAATGTATGATTTTTGTCAGAATTGCTACCTTGAAGTGCAAATGAACAACAATTTCAATCAAGTAAGATCAGATTGAGATCATAAATCATTCCAATGGTTATGATCAACTAATTGTATTGCCTTGAAAAATATAATTTTTGTAATTATTTGCGTATTTCAATCGTTATGACCTTCGGTAGCCATGCGGTTCGACGTGGGTGCTTTGTTCACTCACTCGAGTTGACTGCCGTTTTGTCGGTGGTTCAAGCCCCAGTCTGAACGATCGATTTCCACTTGCCATCGTCCAACCCGTGTTAGGAATCACACTTTGAAAGGTAAGACCTCGTTAATCCTTAGCGCGCATAAGTTTCGACTTCTAAGGGTTGTCGTTCGTAGGGGTGCGACAGCTGGAAAAACAGATTTTTTTTTTATTTCGATAGACATATTTGAATGCGGCGAGTTCATGTATTATTGTGAAGAACTTGAATTAATAATGAAACTGTCCTCAAGGCATTGCCAGCTGAAGAATTAAAATAAAAATTGATGGTACTATATCGAGGGCTTTGTCTGTTGAGGTACAAAGCCAACAAAAGATGTGTGAATTGATTGGTTGGTTGGTTGGTGTGGGTATTGAACCGTGTTTTGTGAAAGGCTCAAATCAAAGATAAAACACTATTTTTACGGGGAAACTCAAAAGTGATAATGACTAATTATCTATATTCAGAATTCTGCAAATGAAGATTGGTTGATCGTAAGGATAATAATTTTCAAACACTGACCATTTTGCAAATGAATCATCTTTATATTTTGATATTGAAACTTTCCTGAGGTCTCAGTCAAATAAAAAACTTGCACTAACCAAGATGGAGAATTTGATTTTTTGATCTATATACTCAATAATCGATGTCTATTCTTATATACAATCTCCACAAACTTCACAAATTTAACTCAGTTTCAAGTGAACTCATAATTGAAATGTTTCCGTTGTGAATGAGATGAGTATCAATTTCAAAGAAATCAATTTTAATTTTGTTCAATTGGTATATGTGTGAAGAGGACTCCAGGGTTATGTGCCAAATATCACTCTTTTAGGTGCTATCAATGTTAAACGATGGCTGCGGTCTATGTTCAGTTTGATTTTACAGTTTACATTTGCTTTGAAAATATTTAGGTTTCAATGCATATTTCGAATATTTCATTGATACTTCATACTTAGTGAGAGTTCATTACGCGTACTTAACTCCTTTGCAAAACTTTGCAAATTTTTTCATGAGATTTGACTCATTTTTGGTAGCTATCTGAAGATATAATAATGTAGAGAGTTATAAAGCATATGTATACTTTATTGCACTTGGAAACAGTAATTAGTGTATGCAAAAACGGGTTTTACAGTCATCCTGCTTTGGAACAGAGGGTTCAGTTAATGAAAAACATTCCAATCCACGAAACGTTTGGCAGTACAGTACAGTACAGTGAGTGAGCCATTGTCTGTAGGAATTCCTCACAGGTTGCTAAACATTTTGCATCTCATTCTATACCCATTATTCCTTTTGTACAATCTACAATGCTGGAATTTTTTTTGACAGCATCTAATTGAAGGAATCCTGCTGAACATCAACAACGTTTTTGATCCTGATGAAGATATCGCCTTACTTTAAAAATTACAAAATTAATTTTGCAGGATCTCAAACCTGCTCTACAAAAATTAATTTTGCTTTTTGTTGTAGGCTGCTCGAGTTCTNCCTGATTGCATGTTTATCAGCATCATCTATTGATTTTATAATGGTTTGACGATTCTGATTTGTATTCGATTTGGAAAATGTATGATTTTGTTTATATTCCAGTAAAACATTGTAAATCGAAGCGCAACACACTCCAATTTTATCGGAAACTTTCGATACGACTTCGTCGACAGTCGATGTCTCAATAGCTGAACGTCCACGTTATGGTTTGCCTGATTTATCATCCCTTATGTTTCCAGCTTCTCAAAGCTCCTTTCCAGTTTCTCAAAGCTCCTTTCCAGCTTATTACCAATGGTGACTTGGAAACCATCACCCTCAGCGCTGGTTTTGCTAAGGAATACCAACTTTTTCTATTCCACATAACGAACTATTAGAGAAATAAAAAAAACCAATCCGGGTCATGTCACACTCGTCTCATTTTTCAGTTTGAAATCCCGAATATCAGCTGATAATTCACGTCCTCGCCGACAATAAAAAATCTCTTCAGCTTAGGGTAGCAATACCAAAATGATATGCAGTGGATTTGCCATCAGTGCTGGTAAGTGGTGGATTAAAGTCGCTGCACATGATATCAGCTGCTTTCACATTTTCACAACTAGACATACATATTTGTTTAGCCCCCACAGATATTCTCCTGCTAATTTCAAATGTAGTTTCTCGTATGACACAGTCGAAGTATTCTCTAGTTAGAATTAGCAAACCTGTTATCAACATTGATGATTTTATAGTTAAAAAAACAAACTGTACCTAGAACAAACAATGAGATGAATAAAATGAAAAATGTTTTCTCCAAGGTGAAATTGAGGAGAGTATGAAAAATCCGCCCTGACCTAACCTAGTTCATCCAAAAAAATTTCTGGAAACACCCCTTATCTTCCGACACTTGATATGACTTATTCGTTTGTTGATGCTGTCCCGACCCGAATTAGCTTCACAATGTAGTCGATGTATATGAAGCTAATGAAAAGACAGCATACAATTTCCTAGGTCAAATATTTGTTTTGTGTAACGACAGGGGAGTTACATCGGATAATAAAAGAGAACGGCAATGAAACGATACGACAACGCGGAATGAAAGTGATTATTTCGAAGTGAATAATGACCCAATTGTGAATTCTTCTGAAATAAATCTCAGGTGATTTCGAGAGAAATATTGATTGTTATTTTATTTAATCAACAACAAATCTTTGTACAAACTCGTGGAGTTGAACTTATTCATTTATTCATTTCTATTCATTTTCAAATACTGCACCAGAAAATGCCAGTTTTTTAGTCATCTCCTGATGATGATAACTTGGTTTGCGACACACGTGTCGGGAGAAAGAATTTTTCTTTTGTTGAGAGAGAACCGTTTTCAAACGGTTCGACTGTGGCACGTTTTCCGTTCAGATCTTCAATTTACAATTTATGGATCATAATGAAAAAAAAAACACTCAATATCAGTTTATTCACAAATGAAAACAATGAAAATTGAAGTGGCAACTTGACATTGCCAAGTAGTGTCACTTGAGGTCTATTCAGCTTAAGATGTCTAAAAACCCTTAATTTAATTCAGCTCCTCTGTGAATGGAATGCTGAAATTTACAAGAACTCCTTATTTTTTTCATCAAGAATGCCAGGATATTCTATTTGAATGTGATGTTATGTATTCTCTGTTTAACACCTACAAAATGCACATATACCAGAAATGTTCATATAACTAGGAAGAACGTCTAGAAATTTCAAAACGAGGATATTAGAAAACTAAAGAAGACCAATTCCTCCTATGCTTGTCACCTTTTAGTGAACAATCACAATTTCGATATGAACCACGACATTTTACGTAACAAAAATAAAAAACAAAAATTGAACCTCGTGGAATACCTGGAAATTAATAAACGAAAAATTCGAATTCCCTATTAAACGACCGAAAAGAATTCAATCACTTACCCATATTAAACTCATTTTTATAACATTTCGAAAACTGTTTGTCACTTATCACTTTCTTGAAATTTACCAGCTTATATAGAATTAGTTTTTCTCAAAATCTATCTATAATTAGCATTATCAACAATTGAGTTCTATTAGTTGTAACCAGAATCCAAAAAAGCATCCATGACCCAACACCAGAGTGCGCTATTTCGACCCGCCATAGATCTCTTCAGTCGTGCTAGGCGGAACCACGAATGCGTTGCTGTACTAAACTGTCCCTGGCAATGACATCTCCTCTTACGAAAACCACATATATTCGATCGACAGATGACTCAATCCGCAAATATCGGAGATTAACAAAGCCTTCAGAAGGTGTTCACTTACAAAGTCAAGTTTCTATATCAAACCCCAAATTGCAGATTTCCCTGTAAGATAACTACTTTTAACCATAGCCCATAAAGAAAGCACTGAACAGAGTTGTTTCGATTGACCTAAGTCTCCTTAGTGATGTTGGGCTGAATGACGAATGCATTCCTGAAGGACAAGTTATCTACCTATGAATCACTCTGCGGGAGATTCCTGGAAACTTTCATGAGAAAACTTCCTGCAAATTTCTACCCAAAATCGTGGATGAATATCGGAAAGTGATATAAACAGAGAAGAGTTTTAGTAGAGTAAGAATAATTTTTCTTTAACTTATGAGGAAGCCGACTTGGTTGGTGGAACGAGAAGAGTATTGTATTTTTGTTGATTGGGAAGAGTGCTTGTTTTTGATTTATTCTGATTCAGAGGTTCCAGTTTCACCTTTTATTATTTCCATTACTGCGAATGAACACTATTCTAATTCTGTTTTATACTGTCTTTTTGATAACCTATTCTCTTTCTAATGAATCCGAACCCCTCACCAGTTGAGTTTTCAAGGAAGAAGAAAACATTTTGATTTTTGAAAACACAAAAATAGGTCAGGCTCAATTATGATATTCCTTGGTTGGCTGCATGGCATATATC